TTGCTAATTGCTTCAATTTAAACACAAAAATATAGGTAAAAAATAGTATGCAAAACGTATTCAAGTACATTTTAGGGGGGGGGGGTATTTTACTAAAAGGTCACAAGAAGAGGATCAAAAAATTTTTTTTAGATAGAATTGGGGGGTTGTGAATTTTTCCAAGGTTTCTTTCGCTTTTCCCTCCAGCCCACCCTGAGGCATAATTTATGAACAGTCCCTTATTGTTGTTGCTGCTGTTGCTGCTTAATGAACTAATATTTTTTTAACGTTTTTGCTTACTTTTGCTTGCAGTTAAAAATATATATACTAGCAAACATATGCAAGTTAATGTTTCCCGGATATGACCTTTTTTTTTGTCATTAAGAAACAGAAATTCAGATGTTTGCTTGTGAACAAAAAATAGGTTAAGTTTGAACTGAACGCTGAGATAGTGCCTTGTTTCTTTTGTAGTTTGAATCTGACGTCCTTCAAGGAAGAGAAGCGAAATTTATTTCGATTGAAAAGGTACGAATCTACTCCCTTCTCCTCCTTTCATCTCAGTAGACAGGGCTGACAAATGTACGCGCATGCGCCAAATTGTCCAAGAAAACAAACATGGCGGCTTGAAAACTTCGCAACTAACACAAAAATTGGTCAAGGTTTTTAGGGGGAAATATTTTACTACAAACATTAGAAAAGTTCTACATACAATACAAACAAACCTTAGGCATTGGTTAATAGGAAAAGATACACACTTCCCGTCTTAGATTTAAAGAAATAAGCTTAACTTCTGCACTTTAGTAGCTGATTTTGAGATTTTTTCGAAACTTTTTTAAAGTAGCAAGTGAGCCCGCGATTTTACCCACGACGGCTGATTCGTTTTTCAGCCATGATAGGGTAAGCCCTGTTAGGGTAATAGTAGTAAATCATGTCTAACAGAGTTATCATTGTAATTGCCTAAATTATAACTGTTGTGTGCTACCCTCATTAAAAAAAGTTCATTCATTCATAATTGATTGTAGTATGTCACGCTTTCTCAACCAAAACCTTCCCGGCCAGTTCGATACGCAGGCAACCCACTAGCCCCAAAACGCATGTACTTTACTTTCAAACAATTTTTTTAAAGGTTGCAGACCTTGGAATTGAAATCAAAGAAGAAAATGGCGGCATCTACGTTACAAGTATCAAAGAAGGAGGAGCTCTCTCAGAAAATGGTTTGTATTTGTTAAAAAATCGATTGGATTCCGCAATGATTTTTCCCAGGTTTTTGATGACACCATTTATTTCCCAGGTAACATTGAGGTAGGTGATCAGTTGCTTAATGTAGAAGGAACGAGTTTGATCGGCATCTCTCGAGAACAAGCCCAAGAAGAACTGCGAGAAGCTATGAACAGAAGAGCGGTAAGCAGTCAACACCTTTAAAACCGTTAAATTTTATCGAACCCTGAAACAA